TTAACAACGACCACCAGATTTGATATAAAAAAATAAGCAATGCATTTTATGAAATATAAAGCTCAAAATAAGTATCAATAAAGACGCCATTAAAATGATAATCTGCTTCTAAAGAGCCTGATTTCGGGGAGTTTACATTTTGCTTTGGTACGATTTTCGTTCCGCTCCGGCTCTGTTCTGCTGCGGCTCGTGTCAAGTCGATGAGTGACTGGTCGAGTTTATAGCTCCATTTATGTCGTTCTTCATTCGCCATAATCGGCACTATCAAAATGTTCCCAAATAAATTTAATCCACGATCACTCTGGTTCTTTTCACGCTGCGTTTTTCCCCTCCCATCCGGCCAACCACCAACAAACGGATCAACACGCTAGTTCTAAGCACAAGTAAACAATGCTCTTAGCATAAGAGTAGGTAAAACTCTCACTCGACAGCATGGCTTTAGCATGTGCTCACTTGGCCACTCTAGCACACGGTATGATACGACCACATGGCCTGGACCTTTGGGAACGTTACATGTTTACATGCATATTTTCTCATATTTTGCTTTTTGCCTCACACCAGCAACTCGCCACTCACTGCTGAGCGTCACATTCGGTAGAACTCACGTCAGCTCAGCTGTTTTTGGAGAGCGATGGGTGGTGAGCACCGAAATTCTACTCCAGTAAATACCTGCGCTCGTGGAGTGTGTCTGTTGGGTTGTTGGGTGTTACGAGTGCATGACGTCACTATCGGTGTCGGCTGTTTGTGTAGTCGTAAGAGGCAGCGGCGCTGTTCTGGTACTGTTTCTTTTCCTTTTTTTTCGGGAGGAAACGTAGGATAAAATGTTCAATTTATGAGACTGCCAGCTTTTTTCGTGTTTCTCCTTTTCGCTTTCTGCAATCAATTTTTATGGTTTTAATGCAGTACAGACTTGCGATAAGAAGGTTAATTAAGACATCACTGCCCGATTGCAGGAAGTTTGCATGAATGTATTCCCGGCATTTCAAGCATTGTTCCAAATCTTTGGCAGACGTAACCTAGCTTGGAGGCAGATCGCCAAAATTGTTCGCTACAGCGTCCAGAAATAAAATCTAGATTATCAAAAAATGCTTCATGAAGCACGTTCGTAAAATAAAAATCACGCAACGCTAGAAGCTACCTATACCATTTACCTGTCGAGTGCAAAAAAAATCGCACACAGTTGCAGTAAAAAGTGATTTATGGGAATTGCTGAATAATTTATAGCGCTAAATGTTCAATTTATTAACAAGCACACAGTACAGAACGTCACTGAAATGTGTGTGAGTGTGCCAACTTTCCTCGTCTTTTTGCCCATTCAGTCTGGTTCGCAAAAACAAACGATGCCGTCCTAGCGGGAGCTTCCACAAGGACCGGAAAGAAGAGAAATGTGAAAGCTTTTCTTTCCAATCCAAGCAAATGCACTGAGCTTGGCAATAGGAGGGCATTGTGGCAGCACTGATAAAAGTGCACCACAACACCGGCTCTAGTTTGATTTAATATTTATGACCGCAATCTGGCGTGACGGAACAGGTTCATCGGATTTTCGGCCTTGCAAGTGGTATGCAAACGTTTTTTTTTTCTCCTCTCGTCTTATCCTCGGAGCCTTTTCGGTCGATAGCAAATATATTTGCGATGTTTGTTTTACATGCTAGTTGTCACACATATCGTTGTCACAGCATAATAAAAACTCAAAATGAAAAACAAGCAGCTGAAACGTGCACTCGTATATAACTTGCACGGCGGTTGAGTAAGACCTTGAATAAATGACAGTCCACCAGCCGTGCGTACGTGGTTCAAAGAAGATTAACTTGACTCGATATTCAATATGTGTTCTACACAAATGGATATTCGTTTTTCGGGTGTGATTAAACGAATAAATTATATTTCTCCAACCACAGCCACACATGGCACAACAGAAAGACGCAAGGCGCGAAAAATAATGCACACACAAGTTTCTCGTTTCTTGCCGGAGCAATGGTCACCTGAAGAGGATCATACTTCAGTGGGGAAGAGCAATAAGAAGCAAAGAAAATGACGATCAAATTCAAAAAGCCATAAATCTTACTTACATGACATTTTTCGCGGTAAGGATTCACGTTGTCTGCGCATATGCTTCTCCTCCGCACAGTCACACAACTTGGCTGGACTTAATTTCGATCCAAAGTTGCCCAAGAAGCTACAACATCTCCGCTGGGATGTTTCGCTCGTTTCCCCCATTGTGCTGGGGAGTCGGAGAAGTATCTTGGACGTATGTCACAGTTTCTCTTCTGCTGGAATATGAGATAAACAGTGCACATTTTGCTCAGGAATGTTGATTCCAAGATGCAAATGGAGTTGTCTTCTATTTGGAGAGGCCGATTCATTTAGTAAAAATTCACAGGCTGTTCGCACACATTAGCCTAAAGCATCATCTGATTCTAGCTGACGGTAGGTAAAGTGTATTAATTTATGCATTCTGTCCGTCACGCACTTTTCTTGGCTCTAGGAGAACTCTTCACCCGCAGAGAGGTGAAATTGTAAAGTTCCTAATTTATCTCACCACTCTTCTGATGGTAGGCAATGTGATGTTGACGATAAATTAGGAAAGCTATTTCATTTCATTACACTCTAAGTAACGACAAGCAGTTGCTTTAAGATTGTACCGTTTTATTCCATCTAGCTCCAACTGTGACTGACACGGAAGTTCTACTCACCACGTGACTGAATGTAATTAATGCAACTATATCTCAAGAGATAATTAATACCGTCGCTAATGGCACACTCACCGAGCAGTTCAGTTCCCATTCGGTACTACAGCGGAAATAGACTTAGGGAGGTACCAAAGCAAAATTACCGAACCGATAAGTCAGAAATCCGGGTTCATATCGCTAGATAACCAAACCTCGATAAGAGTGACACTATTAATTCTTAATAGTTAGACCGTTTTCTTCAATGGCCGTCTGTGGGTTTCCGTCTGGTAGTTGTTCTATATTTGTTATTCTGCGAGCTCAAAACAAAAAGCTTCCATTGGAACCGGTTTATCTTCTGCTTCGAGACTGGAATACAAAAATTAAAACATATAAATAAAAATTCATTCCTCCTTGCCTCACGCACACCACAAACCACGCCATCCGTTCCTTCCCTCACGTGTGCGCACGTCAACCAAAAATAAAAATTTCGTATTCGTTGTCGTAGAAGCGACATACTCGAAAAGAAGTTTCATTTTTTATATATGTTAATTCGTTTCTTCCACAACACACTTTCTTCATCCCTCTTGGGATCTTGAGATCGGGAGCGCAAGAACTGAGGGAGACTGAGAGCCGAGAGTGCGTTGTCTTTTCAGTGGGAAATTTATGGTTCCACATCCAACCATTTTTATTGCTTCATTTTATCAAACATGATTTAGAGTCACAAGGTCCCACAACAGCATTTCAGCGTGCGTTTCCTTCTCCGCATGCATACTCCCCCACCGACCTATTTGGAGCAGAAATTAGCTGCCGATGGCTGCGTCCAGTGTGATATGAAGACTTAGAATATCGAGGGGTTGCCCAACTGTTGAAGAGGAAAAGTAGACTAAGGCCATATTTCATCGCCTTATCCATTAAGAACATGTACAGTTGGTGAATCGTTCTCTGGGTCGTCGGAAGAGACACGATGTCACTCGAATCAAACAAGCAAACAAAAACGAAATCTGCTAAAAATAATTTTCAATTTAGACGCGAGACGGACTATTAAGATATCGTGTTCCGTCCCGATGACATATGCAAATGAAAGGAATGGGTAGAAGGTTCACAATTAGGATTACTCAAAGGTGGATACGTGGATTTCGTTCTTCCCCTTGTGAGTTTCGGGCTGCGTTCTGATGCCCTGCAATAATATTTCCAATTGGATTTTTTTTTTCGAGCTACATTAAAACACAAACCTGTATCGCTAAAAGAGGAGCAGTAGAAAATTTCCTAGACAAATTATTGCCAACAAACTCCCCCGAAATTGCTCTCGAACATCTTTTCCGAGGAAACCACACCCGAGAGATTACGGTGATTTATAAGCAAAGTGCTCTTCAACTGGAGAAAGATTAGAGATTTTAATTCTCCATTTTAAGAAAACGAACAAAAAACAACGCTACGAACCGACGGATGGTGGACGGAACTGTCTGTGCATTCTGCCGAACATACGAATAAATTAATTACAAAAGTAGGGTTGACTATTTTAATTATGTTAGCGGTCAGCCTTCTGGATTAGTGCTTACTGTGATTACTTTTATGCAGATTATAGCGTTGAGGTTGATTACTATGCGTCTCAGTCTGGGTGGGCCTCGAGAAAATAATTCAATTTAACGGTCCGGAAAATTAATGGTTTTGCTATTTTGGAATTTGAACTTTGTGTTGGCAATTTTCGAGAGGCGAAAGCATGCTTTCTGATGGTCGGAGACGAAATCTTGCATTGGCTATAAATTGTACCCACAAAACACGTTAAAATATACATTTTGTTTAAAAATTAATATTTCATGTAAATTACCTGCAATTATGTTGGTACACCTGTGCGCACACGTCTTGGTTGTCTGCACCCACTCTAAACCATGGTAGTTGCCGAATGGAGCTAAGGCAGCGTCGGTCGGTCCTAGGATTTATGGCTTGTTTGAGCTTCCAAGATCTCCCGAACCTAAGCGCCGAAGCCGGGCTAATGGTGCCGCTGTGTACTATTCGCCCTCACCCAGACAAAGAAAGTACCTACCAACAAACACGTTTCCTAGGAAGATTTTCCCCAAGACGTGATTTTTCCGTTCATCTTCCCTTGCCGTCATCTGCGCTTTGGTTCCGGGCTTCGTTTCGGAAAGAAGCAGCAATTTATGAACGACGTGCCACGGGCCGAGATTGAAAGTTTTGCATCCTCCTCGACTGGAAAGTACATACCGTTTTCGGTGGCAGACAGAGAAAAATGAAGATTAATTGTAATTCATACTTGATTATGCGCTGTAAACTAATGCTCTACCTTTTTCTTTTTCTTTTTCTCCTTTACAGGTAAGAGATACTCAGAATCTCTTGCGGGCACACTTCTTCCAGACTGGATAGGTAAGTTGCTTCTCTTTTTTCAGTTTCTTTATATTTAAGTTTAGTTTAAGTTCGGTTAAGTTATATTCTTGTCAAAATTACTTCCAATTACTCATTATGATTTATATCGTTTGGTGTAGTATTTGAGATGCCTATAGATCAATGAAAGATTCGATTAGTTTGAGTTTAGTTCCCTACTAATACTGGTTTGAATAACATTATTTTGAGTCGATAGTAATTTTCCGGAAACTGAAAGTGATGACTGATGTTTTTAAATGTTCTACCGACGACGGTTTTTTTTTTAACAATATCAAGCGTCACTTTTATGGCAAAAAGTTAGGAAGTTAGTTTTCTTTCCTATTATTTTCTTCCGCTTTCCTATAACCTTACTAATCCACTGCTGCAAAGTGTGTTGCCCGTTGGAGGTAGATAACATCATGCGTAATTGAGTTCGTACTGTTTTTCCATAGCAAGTAAGTAATTATTGCGTAACCATACTGGTCCATGGAGTTCTCAAAGGTAAACTTACTAGAAGGTAGTTGATGAGGTTGATTACCAAGGCTAGATAATTGGTATGGATTGTTATTTAACTGTATTGGTTCGTGTGTGTAGTAAGGTTAAAACAAATCATGTACAAATTTTGGAATAAAGCATGAAGTTAGTTCCCTTTTGATGATAGCTAACCCACATATCTGACATTGAAACTACTTCTAGCTGAATTATAAATAACACTGGCATGGGAAGAAGACGGCAACAATGAGCTAAGAAAACAAACTCGCTGCATAAGACAAAATAATCAACTTCAATCGGTTTCCTTACCAGCAGAATGAACCGATACGAAAAAGAAATCAAAGTGCCTACAAAACAGAGATAAAATAGCGAGTGAAGAATATTGTTTATTTAAATAGAACTAAACGCAAGACGGCAGTGTTGGAGAAAGCGAGCGCTCACTATACGAGACGCTGCAGTGGCGTTGCATAGCGAGGCGCCACTTAAACACTTTTTGGAGTAAACAAACACTTAAAAGTGTTATTTAACTGTTAACATTATATCGCTGGCCGTATCTTTTCGCTTTTATGCTCTCGCACCGGCTGCGGAAATAGGATCGAGGCGACGCACGACGATGTTCTCTGGTCTGCACTAGAGCATGACACATCTGTATATGTAGTACATAGGTTCAAGCTGTGCCGCTATGAAGGCGTACTTCGTTCGATTGGTTTTTAATGCAATTACTATTCTTTTAGTGCATTGAATTGCCAAGCAAAAAAAAAAAAAAAGAAAAGACCAGATTGGATATGAGTCGATGAAATATAATTTGTTGATATTTGAATATTTTTTTCACCGCCGAATTATTCTGGTTTTATAAAGTTCGCTTATGTTATGTTTTGGGAAGGGAGTATTTACGTGCTATAAGCGGTTTTTGTGATTCAAGAACAATTGCGATACATTTTCTATGTATCGCTTATAACACGTTAAAAGTCCCTATTCTGAACATTTATTATTATAATAACTATTATTATTATTATCTTTATTATGGATATTTTCTTCCGATTGCTAGTTTATCTCTTACGTCTGAATATGACATTCTCAAAAAAATTTCCTAAATTTTATATTACATTCACAAATGTTGGATTTGTGACTATTTGGAGTTGAATTCTGGATTGTATTTTAAAGTTGTTCTTAAGTACAATTTTGAAATACAGTTTTAAAGAAATATATTTATGAAGATTGTTTCACCGAAGTTATGTGTATGGTAATGTCATTACGGTTAATATGATTTCTAAAAAAAAATGAGTTGTTTAAAAATATAAAAAAAATATGGTAAATTAATGTACCTAGGTACCTTGAAACATGTTCAAGTTTAATTTATCCATTTATTTACAGGTGGTTTTTTTCTATAATTATTTTCACCTCTTAGCTAAACTAATAGCTTTTAATCCCTCCTGTAAACTTAAAAAAAAAACTATACTTGTTGCAAAATTGTTGCTATATCAGTTATGGAAAATGTACCAGAGATCGTATTAGGGGTTTAGTTTGAGTAAATAGAAACATAGAATAGTGATTTTTTAAATGGTACTAGTTTTATTGAAACTTCCAGAATCGGCTAGGGTAGATGTACCAGCTATGGCTATACGATAATATTATGTTGTATTCTAATAATGACCTATGGGGATTCCATGGGCCATAATTGGAACGTATAGCCATGAAGTCCATCTGATTCATCTAATTCCTAAGTTAGGCATTAGTTGCAGCACGACAATAATCTCTCAAATCCATTTGCCAACAGCTAGTGGAACTCTAACAGATCATATAAATCTTCCCAATACACAACCCACAAAATTCCACTTGTTCGTGACTTGTGGCAGGGAACTGTATGCAATTCTAATTATGACCAAATGGTTTCGTATGCGAAATTCAATTCTTGTTTTGATTGAATGTTAGCATTGTACGACACACAGACAAAAAAAATTGAATTTATCATCACCCCTCTTGTTTAATTTAGAGCTTGCATAAAAAACGAAAAGCTTGTTTATAACATTGCTGCTTTGAGATATTGCGCTTAAATTTGCATGCAATAGCATATAAATTTACGCCAAAACTAGCGTTAACTACGTGTCGGCTACATCTCTCCGAAAGTAAGTTAAATGGTTCAAACGGTGCATGCAATACGAATGATTCGCACAATAAACGTAAAAAAAATGTTTTGTTAATGAAATAAAATTAAAAAATAATTTCTTTATCATGCCAATTTGTTTGTTTGATTTATCACTAATGAATTGGTTGGTTGGTAGTCTTTATTAAGGAGATTTTCAGCCAGATCTCTAATGAATTTTTAAATTGAGAAATCGCGAAGTGTAATAGTACTTTGTACTTCTCCTTTAACACATTTTTCTCTATTGTTGCCCTCAGTGTTTTGTCATTGAGAAAAAGGTCTGTCAACTATAGTTGACAGATCCTCACGAATATGGGCACTAGACTTATGCAAAATTTGACTTTTTTGCTCCACAGTGGTTTCAAATCGGGTCCTGATTAGCCTCCAAAAGTTATAACTCATTTGGTTAGAAACAGACTTCGCACAAGCCTTTTGAAGTTTACATGTAAATTACTATGGGAAATCTCAACTTTTTGTTCATTGCCTTCTAGTCTTTTTCCATATCGAGCTACGAAACAGTTCGATAACCTTTCTTATAACTTTGCTGAAGATCTTTTCTATGTAAAACGAGACAGGAAAAAGTTATTAATTATTTAAGAGATTGGTAAACTTATGACATGATCAAGCAGCTGCTCTGTAGGCAACACTGTATTTTGCAGTGTGACATAGTAGCCATGATTTTTGTGTCCTATTCAACGCCCCAGAAACACCAATATTGCCTGCTGAGCAGTTGATTGGGCATGATCATAAGACATCAGCGCATTGAACCATTGATAACTTTCGATCCTTGCATTTAATCAGAAAATGGTCTTCAGCAAAGTTGTAGCTGGTAAAATTTCCTACAGGTTTTTGAAGCAGACCGATATGGTGAATTATTAGATAGACATGAAGAAAAATCTTGGTTTTACCATGGTAATTCCCATACAAACTTCAAATAGTTTGTGCCATCTCAGTTTCTCACTAAATGGGTTCAAATTTTGAGAGGTTAATCAGGATCCGATTTGGAATCGTTTAAGTATTGTGGAACGACAATTTCAAATTTCAAAATTCTCATCATTATCATGCAACCAATAGTGGGTGAGTAGTGGGTAGTGGTTCACTCCCAGTTGAGATAGTTGGGTTTATCTGAGCTGAGAAATGGTATGTTAGCCTCAGTCGTGTGTGACACTTTGCGGAGCCAAAAATCAGTAATGTTTGAATTTACATTTAAAACAGCAGTAGTTCTAGGTGGGTACCAATTACTCGTGGCGGGCTCGAGGTTAATGGATAACAATTTCGATTGGAAGGAGCTAGGTAGGAAACTGGTTTCTGAAGCCTCCTTCAGATACTACTCTCGGACGGTTTATTCTTTATTGGGAGCAGGGAAAAACCCATTTGAGTGGAGCTTATAAAAGCTTTTTTTTTCAAATGGGCATAAAACCTCCTCATCTTTTCGCATCAACAGAACAGTACATTCCAAATGATACATTAATTACTTAAGACTAAACAAAATACGTTCTTATTCTATTTCTTACTACTATCTATAATTTACTAACTGAGCACTTCACGGAACCTATTTTTATTAATGGAACGTGACAGATGAAAGTCGAAGACATGGTCACAACGGTTGAACACACGACAGATACTACTAAAAGCCTCATTATAGCCATAATTAGTACGGAATGTCGATATACGCATAAATTGATGAGAACGGAGAGTACGACGACGAATATTAAAATTCAACTCACGTAACACTGTAGGGCAATCTATGTGAGATTAAAACAAGCCTTAGTGACATTCCTACGAATCTCCAGAAGGTCAAGGTCAATTAATTTTCAACGATCTTCATATCTAGGGAGATTATATGGATCATTCCAAGGTAAACGTCGAAGAGCAAAGCGAATAAACTTATGTTGGATAGCTTCTACTTGCTGTACGCTGTTCTGACAGTAAGGAGCCCAGACCACAACTGCATACTACAATGTAGAGCGAACCAAAGAAAACTACAGGGTCTTCAAACATTGAATATCCCAGAATTCTTTTGCAGCACGAAAAATAAAGCCCAGGCATTTAGAAACTTTGGAGGTTATATATCCTACATGATCTTTCAAAGTAAGTTTCGAATCTAAGAGAACACCCAAATCCTTAACAGTAGATTCTCTCTTTGGAGATATTCCGGCAATGGTGTAATCAAATGAAATGACAGAACGTTTACGTCCAAAGGAAATTACTGAGCATTTGTTGGCATTCAAGTTCATACGATTAGTTGCGCACCATTTGGAAAAAAGGTTAAGTTCTTTCTGAAGGAAATGTGCATCTTCTTCACAGGTTATTACATAATAGAGTTTGAAGTCATCGGTATACGAGAGCTTAAAACATTTGAGCACTA